AGGAATGAACCCAGTGGTGCAGGCAGTGACTCAGAGACTCAGCGGAGTAAAATAAATACTTTTAGTAATAATAAATTAATAAGCTGACATAGCAGCATAAACTTACAGAGCAGGGTGTAAACAGGGCAGGATCAGGACAGGACCAGGACAAGACAAGACCATATTCAATAATGAACCAACACTGTACAGGACTCACAGACAGACTTAAATACACAGACAAGACTGGGTATAATTACAAACAGCTGGACACGAGACAAAGGTGAAAATGATCAGAGGTAATTAAGAGACACCCTAGGGAGTACAGATACAGGAGGGCCCACCAGATGGAGCCATCCTTACAGCATCTTGATGTTCTTGTGATTACAGCTGCACAGATAATTGATAAATTCAAAGGACTGGAGACTCCTTCCTAAACAAATTTGGAAGAGTTTAGAGGTTGACTCCAAGGTCAAGAATCATCAGTGTCAGATCACACCATTGAGCTAAAGTTGACTTGATGAAAGATGGTAGAGGACACCACTGTTGAAAACAAATCATAATTATCATAAAATTATAAAAAACGAGACTGATATTTTCCATAATTCACACTGACAAGCCACAAAGCTTTTTGGAGAAAAATGTCCTTTGGATAGAAGAGAAAAACTAACAACTATCAGCTTTGAGTTAACAGACCCAAAACTGAAACATACAAAGAAAGAATCCAGTACCTACAGATCCCTGTACCTACAGAGCCATGTGTAGCAGCCACTTGGATTAATAATCTATAGTCTCTTTTTTAACTTGGAATGCACCCTCTTTGACACCATTGACCTAATCAGGATGATCCTGTGTTAGAAGACAGATAATACGGTCTGACTTGATTTAAAGCACAAACCGTTTTTGCTGGAGGATGTGGGCGTGGCGAATTAAGAAGTGACGCCGTTACAACAGGTTTGGCTCTAAATTGCACAGATTTCAGCCGAGGTGCATCAAAACCATCATTATCCGCCCCTTGAACAGGTATCCATGATAAGTGGCCTCCACAGCGCCACCTACATTATTCCTAGAGTTATAGGTCAGTGATACAACATCCGAACTGAACCAGATTTATTGTGCGTCATCAGTGAGGACTTTTAGACACATTGATATTGTGGTTTAACATATGGCTCTAGTGTGCCCCCTACATTATTCCAACAGTTATATCTCAATGATACATCATCCTAGCCGCAACAGATTTTTGGGGTGTCATCTGTGAACATGTTTAGACATATTGGTATTGTTGTTTAATATCCTGATGCATGCTCAATAATCCAGGTAGAAAAATCCAAAAAAGTTCAATCTGGTCCTCTGGACATTCAAAAAAACAAAAAACAAAACAAAGCAAAAAAATCAGAAACGTTTCGTCTCTCATCCAAGAGACTTCTTCAGTCTGAGGTGCTGTTTTCAGCTCAGTCTCTTAAATAGCACCTTTTCAGAGTGGATCAACCAGTTTGCTGCTGACAACCAAAACCAGCTGATCACATGCT